GGTAGATCTAACCTTGCTATAATTACTAATAGCTGTTCTTGCGCTACGTGGTCGAATGCTCCTTTAATATCGAGGAAAAGCGTAGATGTTTTTAACTTCTGAGCTTTATTTTCTTTAACGATGTTTGTAAGGAGTAGCGCTATATCTATTGCGGACTTCTTTAGGCGCCCTCCTATTTAGGAGGAGTCGAGAAGTTTCGATGTCTTTTCCGCTAAAAAGCCGAGTCTTTTAGTAATAATACGTTCTAGGATTTTGCCTAGGTAATTAAGTAAGGAGATAACCCGGTATGATTTAGGGGCTGCTTTGTCTAGTCTTCCTTTGCTTAAAATTGCCCCGGTAGCTTAGCGCTAGCAGATAGGGTAGTATCCGTATCTAAAGAGCGTGCTAAATACCTTATAGAAGGCCTCCGGGTATTCTCTATACGCCTAGATAATTAAATCTTAGGTAATAGAATCGGGTCCTAGAGTTTTACCTTTTATTTAGGTTAAATAGGCTTATACTAGCTCTTCCCTATTTAGTTCCGGCTATTCCTAGCTAGTAGGATTAGGGGAATAGCCGTCCTAGTTATAAGGGGTTATCTACGGAGGATTTAGGAATAATCCTTCCTAGAGCGCGGAGCATTTATCTTTAAAAGTATCTTGTAGATTTCCTTGTAAATTCCGGATCTGCGGGATTTAGGTAGTTGTTCGGGGTTTCGTATAAGATATAGCTCTATAGATAGTGCTAGGGGTTTTCTTCGAGAGAAAGGCTTCCTAGTGCGTCCGTTTAGCTTGCTTTAGTGCCTAGAAGTAGGTATTCCGGGATTCTAGGAATTCTTGGATTAAAGGGGACGTCTCTTCTTAAGAAGGGTTGTCTTCTAGTTAGCGGAGACGTCTCCCTTTTTATTAGAATACACCTCTAAGGGTTTTTAGCTCTGGTGTCTACTAGGGTTTTAATATAGCGCTAGGCTAGAGTTTAGGTATTATTCTATTAGCCGTAAAGGTTATAGCTTCCTAGAGGCTACTACCTAGTTGATTTAGTTACGGGATGTTGAGCTCTTTTCCGGAAAGGATTTCTTATATCGTATAACCCTCTTCTAGTTCTTCTAAGTAAGAAGAATCTAGTAGTTAGTCTATTTTAGTTCGGAATAAACTTCTAAACTCTAGGAAGTTTGCTTTGCCTAGGTTATATCTTTGCCCTATTGTTGGCGGAGGCGTGTTGTCCCGGGAGGATTGATTGATTGAGTTGAGTTGAGTTAAGTTGAGTTGAATTTATTTACCCTGACCCATCGCCCTGAGCGATATGTAGGCTATAGACTATTCAAAGGAATACGCTAGGAATTTACACTGGTGATTTAATCTGAGAGTATAAGGAGAAAGGGGAACAGAGATAGGACAAGGAAAGGTAGAAGAATGGCAATAAGATGGGGTTTTACTGGTTGATGTCGTCTCTACTCTGGAATCTTTTTGTTTGTTGAGCGAATTTAAGTACCCTTTTGAGTTGAGCGGCCGAAATTGTCTATTTCATCTTTTCCATATGAGGCTAGTTCTTGTCTGTTGGTTTACCGCCTAGGAGGCTAGAGAGGCAGTTTCTCTGGAGTCCGGTTTCTTGATACATTTTTTGCCGATTTTCCTGGAGTAGGGAACAGTCTAGTAACACGTAGGATATTGATTCTATATCCCCGTATTCGTATTTATCGTTGTTTATCCGTCCTATTCGTTTTCGGTGCTAGTTAAGCCAGCAGTGGCCAGTTCTCAACTAGGCTAGCAGCCCTGCTAGGCTACGTGGGAGCTTGTCGTAGAGGTGCCTTACGTGTGGTCCCGGAATCGCTGTATCTACGTTGCGGAGGTGTTAGCCTTTCTCTAACGCTCTCCATTCTTTATTCTATTGCTTATGTGCTGCTTCGAGAGTTGTTTTGACTTGCAGCGGTATTAAGGGTAGGAAGTTGTATTCTCTAAGACGTGTTATAGCTTGTTTAGCTAGCTTGTCTACTTCCTTATTTCCTTAGATACCGTAGTGGCTTGGGATCTACTAGATCGTGAAACTTATTTAGAGACCTTCATAGAGAGATTAGGCTGTACTGAGGATAGACCGTACGATACTTTAGCCTGATCTCTTTTTATATCTCCTAGTTAGAGCTTAGAGGGCGGCTTTAGAATCGCTATAGATAACGTATTCGGTTAGGCTATAGGGTCCCTCTTATAGGTGTTTTTCAGCTACCAGCTCTATCCCCGTTAGAATAGCAATTAGTTCGGCTGCTTGTACTGTGTAGAAATTGCTAGATCCAACTCCTTTAAGCGCAATGTATCGGGCGTTCCCGGCTTGGTCTAGAATGACTGCTGCTGCTCCTAGCTGGTTGTTTATCTTGGAAGCATCTGTGTAGACCTGGGAGAGCGGGTCCCTCTTTTCCGCGTGACTTAGGAACACCTTATCTTTATCCGGGGGCAGTGTTGTCTTAATCTCTACCGGGAGTGGTTGCCAGGGAGGAGGTGGGCAGATGTCTATCGTTTCGGTTTCTTGGTGCGGGATTAGGCTGCTAAGTTTCAGGGTCGCCTTTAGCGGACTTAAGAAGCTCGCTGGTTTGTTCCGGGTTTCATCGATCTTAGGGACCAACGCGTAGGCAGGGTGCGAGGTGGGTAGCCCCCTAAGACTAGTAATAACTCTTGCTGCCCTAGATTCGAGGCGTAATCTTGTAGGCAAAATAAAGTTCTCTACATCTAGGGTCTCTGTCGATACCGAACGAAAGGCAGAGATAGCCTTTATTGTTGCTAGCCGTTGGACCTTGGAGAGAACCGATATTTGCCACTTGTACCTGTTGGGGGAGTACCAGACTGTAGAGGTATAGTCTATCTGCGGGACTACGCAGGCTTGGTATAGCTGGCGGAGTTGCTTCGGTCTAAGATAACCTAGCCTACCTATTGCTAAGCAGGTTGTAGTAGCTCGTTTAATTACTCTTTAGACATACGCTCTCCATCTAAGTTCTTGGTCGAGAACTACTCCGAGTAGCTTTACCGCCTTTGTTAGTTTAACCTCGTGTCTACCTATTGTTACGGTTGCTAGGCAGTCCTGATTGGTGTTTCTCGTAAAGTGGATAAGCTCGGTCTTGTCTGCCTCAAAAGTCGATCCGGTACGCCGTGCCTATTGCTAGATTCTCGGGATATCCTCTCTCTGTAGCGCTGTTAGGTTCTTTTATGCTGAGAGGCTTACCCTCCACCGGAAGTAGTCGTTAATGTAGGCGGACGCGCCTCCGGTAAAATCTACTGGTTGGTCCACTAGGTCTGCGTTGTAGAAAGCGAAGAGAATTGGTGAGAGAGGAGAGCCTTGTGGGAGACCGGGGTAGCTAAGTGTTAATGCGGGCTTAGTAAATCCGTCGAATGAGATTAAGGCGGATCTATCGGATATAAAGCTGCTAATCCACTTTCTTGCCTAACTTAGGATTCTTCTCTGACCTAGATAGTCATCTAGAGCTTCTTTATTTACCGCGTTAAAGGCGCCTTTAAGGTCGAACGC